GGAATGGAGGTTGTTTTTTTAAATATTGTTTTGTTTATTTTTAATTCAGATAGCCAAAAATTGGCACAAGAATCAGAAAGCCAAGAATGATATAGCTAGAGAAGATATTACGGAAGTTAAAGACGATACCTGTAAGTCACGTCTGGGACGGCTCAAACGCTTTAAAATTCCACATCAACAACGACCCACGGGCATTAACCGTTAACAAACAACCCAAATTTTAAATCCAAAATTAATTATTTAAAGAAATATTGAACAAAACTTTTCTTCAATTAAAAAAATCTAAGGCACAAAAAAGCATAAAGCCTCGTTTCTTTTTTTACTAAAAATTTATTTAATTTGTTTAATTAAAATTTAATCTAAACCGTTCTTTCCAAAGCCATTCAAGAAAGACAGAAAAATTTTTTAAATAAAATTCTAAAAAAATTAAGGGGAAAATTCAAAAATTAAATTAAAAAATATTTTAAAAAATTTAAAATAATTCATCATAAAATAATTCCAAATTTTCAGGCCGAATAAATTGTTCGACTACGGCCGTTCATTCGCCATTTGTTGTTTATCTGGTACTTTTTCTTCGATTGTAGGTTCACTATTGATGTCAACAACAAGAATATCCTTCTGTTCCAATATCGCTAAGCTAAAAAATATTGAATATTTGCATCATCACTGATATTAATATAAAAATTAAATGAAAAAACAACGTTCTTTTCAAACCCTTTGTAATTTCCATAAATAATTTTTCTACATATTCCGCATGGGTAGTACTTGAGTCCTTATTGATCTTCCGAATGCAAATAGCACAAAAAGTATGTCCACATTTTAAGGAAATAGGGTATCGGTGACATGTTGAATAAGTCTAAAAACTACTGTCAGCCTAAATTTTCATTTTTAATAAAATGCTTAATTTAAAAATCAAACAGAAGATCCTTGATTGTAACTAAGTTTCAATTTGTCTTCTTCCAATTCCTTAATTTTCTTCCGTAACTTAAGTCTTCACAAATCTTCGGAATGCAAACAGCATAAAACGTATGACCACATTTTATATAATTGACTAAAAATAATTCACTACATGACTAAAAATACTTCATAACAAATTTGGCATTAAGAGTTCTTGGTCACCAAATGAACTTGTTTTTGGGTTGAGGAGAGCCTCGAACCTAATTTTGAGGTGGTTGCACTCTTGGCCACATATTAAGAATCGGGTGGTGGGATTTTTTTGCCCTAATTTTTCGATTTTCATAGGTTACATCTAGGTCAATAGTTGAGCCTCGAACATAATTTTGAGGTGGTTGCACTCTCGAATGTATATATATCTCTCGACAATATATCAAATTTTAAATTATATATTGTTTGTTGAATCGGGATATGACGAAATTTTCCCAATTTTATTTAAAAATTAAAACAAACACTGGCTCAGGCAAAAAAAGAGGGCATGAGCTACGCATGCTATCAAAATATAAAACTTTTCCTCGAGTGTTGGTTCACTATTGCTGTCATCAACATGAATATCCATCTGTTCCAATATTTCTAAGGTAAAAAATATTAGATATTTGCCTCATCACTGATATTAATATAAAAATTACATGTAATAACAACGTTCTTTTCAAACCCTTCGTAATTTCCATAAATAATTTTTCTACATATTCCGCATGGGTAGTACTTGAGTCCTTATTGATCTTCCGAATGCAAATAGCACAAAAAGTATGTCCACATTTTAAGGAAATAGGGTATCGGTGACATGTTGAATAAGTCTAAAAACTACTGTCAGCCTAAATTTTCATTTTTAATAAAATGCTTAATTTAAAAATCAAACAGAAGATCCTTGATTGTAACTAAGTTTCAATTTGTCTTCTTCCAATTCCTTAATTTTCTTCCGTAACTCAGCGATTAATTTGTCGCTCTTCTCCTGTTCATCTTGTTTGTCAATTAACAAAGCCTCTTTAATTGCCATGTCATCATTTGCAAATTTTAATTCTTCTTCCAATTTCAAAATAACATCACTAGCATTGTCCAATGCATTTTAGTATCCACTATCTAAAATAGAATAATTCGTAAATTTAAAAATATCAAAAAAACTTTTTTAATTTGAGAATTTTCTTTTACAAGGTCAACATTTTTCGTGCCACAAGATGTTACTAAAAATCCAGAATATTCTTTAAATTCTTTGAATTCTTGTCTTAGTCAACTCTTCTTCCAATTGTTTTTCAATTGTAGATATGAAAAAAACATTATAAAAATAAAAAAATTAAATGGCTTCATAATTTAGCCGCCAGATTGAACGCTACAAGAAAAGATATTATGTTTAAAACTAGTAATTTTATAAATAAAATTAAATTGAAATTTTATTCAAATTTTAAGAACAAATTAAATGAAATTAAAGAAATATGCTCCAGATTCTGAAATACGTCTTGATCAACAGCATCAGCATACTTGTATCACATTTGCTGTTATTTGGCCTTTTGTAGAAGTTTTGAAAGAAAATCACTAGCTTTTTTGCCAAATTCAGCAAGAAGACAATTAAATTTCTCTTTATCCGATAATGCAGCATTTAAAGCTTCGTCAGCATTAAAGCTTCCTGATTTTTAATTCCTCTTATTTTTGCAAATTTTTCTTCCCAACATTTTTATTTAAAAAATTGAAATTTTTGGAGAGGATTTTCTTCTTTTATTTTTGTTGTTGTTCCAAATTTGTGTTGTTGTTCCAAACACAAAAAAACTTTTTTAGATTGAATGTTTGTTGCTGAACCGTCCGTCAAACCAATCCTGAAAATTAGATTTTTTGAAATTATTGATAATTTTTAATTTCGTTACTCCTAACAGGGATGGGTTTATTGAAACTCAAGATCCGGAATATTTTTCGACTAATAATGATCCAAAGAAAATTCTGCAAGTCCTGATTTGAAATTTAGCAAGACTTTTTCTTCTCAATCTGACCCACACCGGTCTCATAAAACTTCAACAAAGGGTTTAAATATAAAAGAAATTCTCCTTTTAATTTATTAAAATTTACTACGATTAATCAAATGAAATTGAGACAGAATAAAGTTTGAGGAAAGAAAGTCTGTCCCCTATTCGAGGAAGGGTAAAAGTAACGAAAAAATTCAGAATAATCAAAATTCTGAGAAAACTTTTTTCGATTTTATAGAAAAATTACAAAGACGAAAAATTATTAAAAAGTTTAACTTTTATCCAATAAAAATTTTTTGCGGACATTATTTTAGGTTTTATTATAGATGCTTAACTATAAGTTTATTCGAACATTTAATTTTACGGAAAAATTCTTTAAAAATTATTAAAAGCGACAAAAGCATCTAATAGAAATTGAGGAAAAAACTCCCCAAAGGTTGTCAAAAAATCCCCCCAAAAAATTAAAATTCAATATTTATTAAAAGAAAGAAAACTTTTCATGACTTTTTCATCCCCAAAATCGTTAAAATAAAATCAAAAAAGAAATTTTTTTCCTCAAAAATTTTCTTAAATTTAAACAAAAAATTCAACAAAACAAACCTTAGCACAACACACAACAGCACTAAACACCAAAACACTAGCAGTTCCATAAACAACTTTAGGCCCATTCTTTGTTTTAATCATATCAACAGATTTATCGAGAAGTCGACAAACAAGTGGAGTGAACTTGAAAAACAAAAAATTTTTTCAATTAATTTAAAAATAAACCGTTTTAGCCATCAAGAAAATTAATTTTTAAATAAAAATTCAAAAAAAATTAAAAAGAAAATTCTTTAAATTAGAAAAAAAGAGTATGTAAATATAAGATAGTGGCTAGAGAAATAAAAAATAAAATTAAATAAACATAACGCCAATTATTTTAATTAAATGTAAATATTTAAAATTTTATTCTCTCAAAAAATTAACTGATGGAGTTAAACAAAAATCTGTTTCCTTATAATAAAAATTTGTTAGAAATTAAATTTATAGGCTGATAAAAATATTGTTATATTTACATATTATTTTTTGTTTTAAAATTTGTGTTGTTTTATAAATATTTTTGTAATTTTTATTTTTCAGAAAATTAAATTATTAGTTTAAAGAAATGGAGAAATTTGAAGATTTTGAAAAAGAATTGGAAGATTCCTGCTTAGAACAAGCTGAAAGTGCCATTACAAAAGAATTAGATAATGGTTTACAAATTGTTAAGGTAAAAGAAATTTAATTTTTTAAACTAACTTTAGTAAAAGAATGAAATTCCAAAATATATAGTAATTTGGGTATTGTGCTTTTAGGGGTTTATTTTGGATGGACCGATTTCACAAATGAGGTGTCATTCGAAAGCGCTCGTCGAGCTGAGTCTAATGACACCAAAACCAACGAAATCCGACTTGATTTGACAAAGTTATGATCGTTTGTTTTAGCTCCTTACCTATGGCGCCCGTGGAGGTTTGTGCTGCTACAGAGGCCCCCAGTCACGTCCAGAGCATTGGAGATCGGAAGGGTTATGTTACTGACACAGAACCCAGCAACCTTTGACTCCCCGCGAGGCGCGTGCCGCAAAACGCGTGCCGCAAAAAAGCGAGGCTTTGCACAAGCGCCTCGCCGCACTTTATAGGTTTATGTTGACCATTTTGAACCTATTTATCCTGGCTCAGAATTAAGATATCGAGCTGATTTTGGTGCAGTCGAATGATTGCATTTTCGAATTTTTTACCCCAAAATGAGCTCACTCCCCCTTCTCTTTTTCAAACTTCAGGGGTCTGTATCTCGGTCCCTGATTGTCGTTCGACTTCACTCGCCACGCGATCGACTCAGCTTTGCGAGCTCTTGAGAATGACACCTCATTTGTCTAAATCGGTACAGCCAAAAAACCCCTATAAGTCACAACATTCTTTAATTTTGTTTCCCAAGGTTACCTCATAAAATGTACTCTTATTTGATTTGAATGTTGATATGATGACCCCCGATTTAGCAAATCCCTTGATTTAAATAAAATTTTCTTCGCCATCTTCGGGTTATTTATATTTTTAATTTTTAGAATATGACAGAGTATCAACGAAGTGTAGAATCACTCAAAAATTTATTAAAAGAAGAACAACGTGAAAAGCAGTCATTAATAGAGAGAGAAGGACTATTTGAATGTATTATAGACAATTTAAAGACAGCTCTGGAAGCATCAAAAGATTTAGAAAATGCGAAACAAGAAGAGAACATAAAACTTTCTGCTCAAATAAAAGAACTACAACAACAAGTTGGAAAAGAACGAAGAGCACGTGAAGAACAAAGAGAAAATTTCTTAATGATGGAAAGGTAAAGGGTGGAATTTTATTTTTAAGGAAAAAATTTTTATTTAGAAAATTAAAAATAGTAACTAGTGAAAGGGATGAATTATTAATTCAAAAAGAAGCTATTGAGAAACAATCTGAGGTATGTAAAGAAATTTAATATTCTTTTAACAAGAGGTCGGTAAAATCGCATTTGCAGGATCCTGCAGGATTAATCCTGAAAATGCTGAAATCCTGCCAATCCTCAATCCTGTCATTTTTTTCCAGGATCCTGTCCAGGATTTCGAGATGTCCAGGATTTCTCAAAATTTTTCAAAATTTACGCCTGCGGCGCTGAAAATCAAAATTTTTAGCTAATTTTTTTGGCGAATAAATCAAAATTTTTGGATAATCCCCACTGTTGGAACAACTTCCCCCATCACTGAATCAACATCCCCCATTGTTGGGTCAAAAGTTTGGTATTTCAAGTAGTGTAAGTCGAGTACCAAGTAATAGGGGAAACTCTAGTTCAAGTAATGTACCGTTCGACTCAGCACCTTTTTCTACCATATAGGTATATGACATTTTGAACATTAATTTAGGGGGTTACGTCATAACGGAAAAGTACCCGGACTCATTGTCAGCATTCTACTGGCAATCCGCAAAAATATCAAAAGAGCACCTTATAATTTTTCTCGGGGCCAATAAACTAGAGTAATACAACCTTAAAATTTAAGGAACTTGAAGGAATTGATGATCCAAAAACTAAACTTGAAGTTTTGAGAAGTGTTGAATCGTTTTTAAAAGAAGAAAAGCTTGAAGAAATTCAACGTGCTAAAGAAGCTGAAGCAGCTTTTGAGCTTAAAGAGCAGCAAAAGAAGGCTGAAGCTGAAATTGAATTGGAAGCAAAACAACAAAAACCTTTGGAAATTAAAGAAGGAGATACTTCTAATGAGCTATTGAAGGAATTGGTAAAAGAATTAAATTTGATGAAGTCTTCCAAAAGAATGTAAAAATGGACAAAAAATTTGTTTCTTTATAATAAAAATTTGTTAGAAATTAAATTTATTGGTTGATAAAAATATTCTGCTTTATTTCAGAATTTTTTCTAAAACTTTAAATTTGTTCTAAATCAGAGTGGCTCTTCATAGGGGATTGAAAAATAGATTTTAATTTTTATAAAATTATTTTATTAGATTTTGACTTTCAACTAATTTTAATTTGATAAAACCAATTCTACTGATGTATCGTTCGACTCCTCATCGTAACCATATCTTCTAAAAATTTTAAACTTTTTTATTTTCATCTTTAGGATTCCCTCCTTCGTCCTCCAAGAGTGCCTGATGAAGAGTATAATCTTGCCAAGATAATTTGTTTTTACACGTAGAATAATTCGATTAAGAAGAAGCAGGGTGACCTACCACCTTTAGGGGGCTTTTCCCTCTTTTTGACTTTTTCGCCTTTTTTTCTCTCTTTTCTTCATGCCACCTTTTTTTCTGAAAAAGGAGGAAATCTGTCTTCTAGTCTTCCAAAATTCTCAAAATTTTCGCCTGCGGCACTGAAAAAGGAAGATTATTGGCTTCTAGTTTGCAAAAAAATCCGAGAAAAATTTTTAGTTTAATTTCTTTGATGCGTATTATCTTTGTATTTCTTATCCTTCGATTGCGTGAAAAATTAAGCTTTCAATTGAACTTTAATCATTTTTAAGTTTTTAAAATAATGCCCCCTTTTTTGCTTCCTTTCTGGCCTTTCACCCTCTTTTTGCCCCTTTTTGTTAAGCCATGCCCTCTTTTGGTGTTTTGGTAAGGGTCACCCTGATTAGAAGATGTCTATTGAATTTAATGTTCTTAACCAATATCTTTCCTTTAATTAGAAAAAAAGTATGTATTTTGCAACAAATGTACTTTTTTCTATCGCTATTAATCTAATCTTACGCATCTTTTTGAAGTAAAAAATTTTGTCAAAGGAGAAGTTGCTTATTTATATAGAAGTAAAATTGTTTAGGAATTAAATAAAAATTTGAAAAAAGCGAGACGGAGTTAAGTCAAATAAATTCGATATTGGAAACTAGTTTTAATTTTTATTTATTTATATGGTCCTCCTCTGTTATTAAATTCCCAGCGAAATCTCAGTTGTTCGTAATATGTTCAAGATGATCGAATCGACCTGATTTTAGTGACATTCAATTCAGCTCGTCGAGCTCTTATGAATGAGCTAATATTTGCATGCCCGATTTTTTGACTTCGAAAATTAACTTAGACCCTCCTATGGTCTTAAAATTTTCAGGGATTTGACGAAATATTTGGCTGCTTGGCCTCCCAAAATTCCTAAAATTTCCGAATGCTGAGCTCAAAAGTAAACAAAATCTGACTCTTGGCTGTCCAAAATATTCACAATTTTTTTGCCGGTGACAAAAATCACCAGAATCCGTGTTATATGAAGTCAGTGAAGATACTTGTAAACTTTGGCGTTATAGCACTTGGCGTGTTTTAAGAATCTTATAACACTAGAGGAACAGAGAACTTAGCCAGTCTGTTCTCAATAATTATTCAATTTCTAGTTAACGTAAAATAATTTTAAAATTTTATTAATGAGATCAACAACAATTCGAAATAAAATTCCAATCACAAAATTATACAAGCAATATATAACACAAATAATTTATAAAAAACATTTGACTATAATTGTAATATTAATTTTAATTTTATGGATTTATACAAATCTGAAGGAAAAGGAAAGTTGTTACATTCTTTCTAGCAGTGGGTTGCGGTATATTCCAAAAATTAATAATGATTTAAAACTGAGCAAGGTAGATTTGGAAGATTAAATAATTTATTTCAAAACCACGATATTAAATACAGCAAAGCAAATATATCGCATAGCTATAAATTCATAATTAAATCCTGGACACCCTGGTATGGTTCGATGCACCACGACGAGCCGAATCGAAATATGCCACGAACCGAAACATATTTTAGAAATATCGCATTATCGCCCCATGTCACACACATGTCCTTGAATATTTTTATCTTTAAGGGAGGAGATAAAGTAAGGAAAAACTTTTGCGGTTGGTATAATGCAACTTTAGCAGGGAGGGGCTTACGCGCCGCCTGCGCGACGCCACAGAAATATAATGATAAAACCTCTCAAGAGCCAGCGATTTTTCATTAACAAAAAACTATTTTTGTGTCTATCTTAGGGTTCGACCCGGACCGGATCCGGAATCTCGGATATTTTGATAAAAACCGGATTTTTCGGATTTTTGTCCGGAAAATCCGTTTCTGGTCGAGTCCAAAAATTATATCATTTTTCCCCACGAAATGAGAAGAATGAAAAAAATGTAGGAGGGAAATGCTCAAAAAAGCGATTTTTTTCGTAACAGCATCAAATTCCGAACTCAAGTTTATATATTGTATTAGAAAAACAAAATTCATTTCAAGATATTTAATTCAAAATCTTCTAAATTATATAAAATTATAGAAATATTTTTATTTGTGAATTTTCTAATTAAAGGATATATATTCTAAAATGACACTTATTCAAAAACAAACGTATCTTTTGAGATTGTACGGATTTGATTCATCAAATATGTTAGAGAATGTTGAACAAAAAGAGATAATAGAAAAACATGTATTTAATAATAATATTATAATTTTATTTTAACATTAGTTAATTTTAAAAATATTTTATTTTCCCATATCCATACTTCAGCTTAGTAGAGAGAATTTTAAAAAAGTTTAGAACTGAGGTGGGTTCTTTCGAATGAACTATTTATCTATATATACATATGAATCCTTGAACCCATTGGTCCCCCTCTCCCCTATGGCTTTTAAATCTACAAGGGCCACAGCTACAGGGGCCACAACTACAAAAAAACGTATACTCGCCAGTAATTATTCATCATATTTTAGATAATTAAACAATTATCAAAAGAACGTAAATCTCATTTTAAAAACAGTAATTATAAGCAACTTTCATCAATGAGTAAAAAAATCCAATCTGCGATTAAATCGCTTCAAAATCCTTATGATTGCTCAAAAGCTCGCTATCTTGTCTGTAAGGTAAGAATTTATATAAAATCATTCCAATATTTGTCAGTTATCTATATAAGCAGATTATGAATTACTAAATAAAGTGACAGAAAATTGGGATACACAAAAGTATATTCTAATTATGGTTAAAAATGGCCCGACTCGGATCGAAAGATCAAGTCGGGCCTAAGATATTCGACTCGTACGCCCGACTCGATAAACGCCCGACTCGAAAACTTCCGTTTTCGACTATGTTACTGTACAAAATTAAAAAAATAACAGCTTGGAAGACCGGATTAGCAATAAAGATAACCGACAAGTACCAAAATCTTAACATTAAATATTTACTCTAAATAGTTAAATGAAATGTTTTGTGGTTTTGGTTGTTTAATTCATCATGCTAGGTATATTCAAACAAAATACCTATAACGTATTTCCTCTAAAATAACCCCCTCTAGAGATCGATCAAAAAAATTATGGGGGTTATTATAGAATACAGTATACTACAGTATACTAGAATACAGTATATAGAGGAAATACAGTATACTATGTTCAAAAAACTTTTTTGTATCACAGTTATTGTCTTTCAATTTCAACCGGCACAGGACGAACACTTATATTTGAAAATGAGGACCTTCGAGTATGGGGATATAATGTTAGATGGAATGAACTATTTGAGCCAATAACTAATTGCAGTTATAAGAAACATGTAAGCGAAAAGGAATAAAAAATTCAATAGAAAAATTCAATTTTCTCCGTGGTCAGAACCAGGGGTGGTCAGAAAATTTTTTTTGAGAATTTTGAAAGGTCAAATGGCCAGTTTTTTTCCATTTATGATATCGGAAGGAAAAATTTTTGGGACTAAAAATAAATTTCTTCAAAAATAATTGCCGTCATTAGGGGTGGATTTTTGCGTAAGAGGGGTAAAAACCGAAAAAGCGGAAGACGGAAGGCGGAAGGGGAAGAGCAAATAAGGCGGAATTCTGCGGAAACGGATCTATCCATGCT